ATACCCTGGATCAAAAAAGAAATAAAAAAGAAATCAAAGACTTCCTAAAATTCAATGAGAATGAAGACACAACATACCCAAACTTATGGAACACTTTGAAAGCAGTTCCAAGCTGAATGTTCATAGCACTAAGTGCCCACATGAATAAAATGGATAATTATCACACTAGAGAATTAACACCACAACTGAAAGCTCTAGAACATAAAGAGGCAAACTGGCCCCAGAGGAGTAGATACCAGGAAATAATCAAATTGAGGACTGAAATCAATAAAGTAGAAACTAGGAAAACAATACAAAGAATCAATGTAACAAAGAGTTGGTTCTTTGAGGAAATCAACAAGATACACAAACCTATTCAAACTTGATGAACGACAGAGTGCGAACATGCAAATTAACAAAATCAGAAATGAAAAGGGAGGCATAACAACAGAAAGTGAGGAAATCCAGAAAATCATCAGGTTATATTTTGAAAAACTATCCTTCACAAAATTTGTAAATTTAAAGGAAATGAACAATTTTCTGGATAGATATCACTTACCAAAATTAAATCAAGGACAGATAAGCAATTTAAATAGACCTACTACCCCTAAGGAAATAGAAGCAGTATCAAAAGTCTCCCAACCAAAAAAGCCCAGAGCCAGATGACCTCAGTACGGAATTTTCCCAGTAATTAAAAAAACAGCTTATACCAATTCTCCTCAAAGTATTCCACGCAATAGAAGCAGAAGAGTCTTTGCCAAACTCTTTCTATGAGGCTTCAATAACATTGGTACCCAATCCACACAACTAAGAAAGAGAACTTCAGACCAATATCACTCATGAACATTGATGCAAAAAAATACTCAGTAAAATACTGGCAAATCGAATTCAAGAACACATCAGAAAAATCATCCACCATGATCAAGTAGGCTTCATTCCAAGGATGCAGGGATGGTTCAATATATGAAAATCCATTAGTGTAATCCACCATATAAACAGGCTGAGAAAGAAAAATCACATGATCATCTCACTAGATGCTGAAAAAGCCTTTGAAAAATCCAACACTCCATGATAAAAGTCTTGGAGAGATCTAGGATAACAGGAACATACCTGAACATAATAAAAGCTATATACAGGAAACGAACAGCCAACATCAGACTGAATGGAGAGAAACTCAGGGCAATTCCTCTAAAATCAGGAACAAGACAAGACTGTCCCCTCTCCCGTACCTTTTTAATATTTTACTCAAATTCTAGTTAGAGCCATATGACAACAAAAGGATACCAAAGGGATTCATATTGGAAAGGAAAAGGTCAAACTCTTATTATTTACAGATGATATGATAGTTTACATAAGTTATCCAAAAAAACTCTACCAGGGAACTCTAACAGGTGATAAACACCTTCAACAAAGTGGAAGGATACAAGAACAACTCAAGAAAATCAGTACTCCTAATATATACAGATGATAAAAGGGCTGAAAAGAAATCAGAGAATCATCACCCTTTACAATTACCATAAACAACATAAAATACCTTTAGGTAATGTTACCCAAACAAGGGAAAGACCTGTATTGCAAGAACTTTGAGTCTTTAAAGAAAGAAATTAAAGAAGACACCAGGAAATGGAAAGATCTCCCATGCTCTTGGATAGGTAGGATCAACATAGTAAAAATGGCAATCTTCCCGAAAGCAATATACAGATTTAACTCAATAACCATTAAAATCCCAGCACAATTCTTCACAGACCTTGAAGGAAAAATTCTCAGCTTTATATAGAAAGACAAAAGACCCAGGATATCCAAAACAACCCTGTTCAACAAAGCAACGTCTGCAGGCATCACTATCCCTGACTTCAAGCTCTATTATAGAGCTATAGTCCTGAAAACAGCTTGATATTGGCATAAAAATAGACAGGTAGACCAAAGGAATCAAATTGAACACCTTGAAATTAACCCCCACACATACGAACACCTGATATTTGAAAAAGAAGCTAAAATTATACAATGGAAAAAAGGTATCATCTTCAACAAATGATTCTGGCATAACTGGATATTGGCATGTAGAAGACTGCAGACAGGTCCATGTCTATCGCCATGCACAAAACTTAAGTCCAAATGGATCAAAGACCTCAACATAAATCTAGCCACACTGAACCACTTAAAAGAGAAATTGGGTAGTACCCTTGAACAAATTGGTATAGGAGACTGCTTCCTGAATATAACACCAGTAGCACAGACACTGAGATTGACAATTAATAAATGGGACCTCCTGAAACTGAGAAGCTTCTGTAAGGTAAAGGACACCATCAACAAGACAAAATGGCAGCCCATAGAATGGGAAAATATATTCACTAACCCCACATCTGACAGAGGACTGATCTCCAAAATTTACAAGGAACTGAAGAATCAAGTCTCCAAAACACCAAAGGACCCAATTAAAATGTGGGGTACAGAGCTAAATAGAGAATTATCAATAGAGGTGTCTAAAATGGCTGAGGGACACTTAAGAAAGTGCTCAACATACTTAGCCATTAGTGAAATGCAAATCAAAGCAACTCTGAGACACCATCTCATTCCCCTCAGAATGGCTAAAATCAAAAACACCAATGACAATTTATGCTGGAGAGGTTGTGGTGAAAGGGGAGCACTCCACCACTGCTGGTGGGAGTGCCAACTTGTACAGCCACTTTGGAAATCAGTATGGAGATTCCTCAGGAAAATGCTTATAAGCCTACCACAAGACCCAGCAATTCCACTCTTAGGCATATACCGAAAAGATGCCCATTCATACAATAAGGATGTCTGTTCCACTATGTTCATAGCAGCATTATTTGTAATAAACATATCCTAGAAGCAACCTAGATGCCCCCAAAGTGAAGAGTGGATAGAGAAAAGGTGGTACATTTACACAATGGAGTACTACTAAGCAGAAAAAATGGAATCTTGAAATTTGCAGGCAAATGGATGGCGCTAGAAGAAACCATCCTGAGTAAGGGGCTGTGGGGCTGGTAGAGGGGCAGGAGAAGGAGTTTGGGATTGACATGTGAAGCAAGCATGTTTTTAATTTAAATAAAATATATTGGAAAAACTATATAAATGGTAAAACTTCATGGAAATAAAGGAACACAGAATTAGTAGATGGAATTCCTGTCTATATGAAATACCTAAATAAACATGGGAAAATTTAAACCTTGAAGAGATGGTTTAGCAGTTTAGAGCAAGTGGATCTGAGATTGGTTTTCAGCTCCCTCCCCTTTTCAGGGGATAACAACTCCCATTACTCCAACAATCAGGAATCTGACACCCTCTTCTAGGACATTCACACTCAAGACATTTACTCACATACACAAAACACAACATGAATAAAAACAAATCTTTTTTAAAACATAGAAAATAGAAGTTTGAGAGGTGACTCGGTAGTTGAGACCACTTGCTGCTTTTTGAGAGATTCCACCTTTAAGTCTAGTACCAGGGAATTCTACACTCCATTGTCTCTGTTGCAATCCACAAAGGGGAAAGGGGATTGTTATTCAGCAATAAAAAGAAAGGAGCTATCAACCTACAGAAAGTCATTAAGAAATTTGAATGCACATTTGTAAGTCATAGAAGCTAAGCCGAAAAAAACCCAATACTGTAAAAGTCTGACTATGGAAGGAGAAAAATTGTCAGTGATTTCCAAATATTCTAATGAGACAGGATAGAGAAAGAAATAGATTTAGAGGATGGGGTGGGAAGAGACAGTGAAACTATGATATTCTAAACACAGGTACATGTATGATTAAATTTATAAGTGTCTATAGATTGTATAGCACCAAGAGTTAACCTTAATTTAAAATATGAACTGAGTGGTATACATATAGTCTCATCAATTGTAAGAAATGTACTAGTTTGGTTAGGAATACCAATAATGAGGAAGTTTGGACATGGTGTGAAGAGTAAATCACTGCATTTCCAAGTCATTTTATTTGATTTTAAAACCACTCTTTAAAAGTAGATTTTTTGAAAAAGGAGACTTTCATCTCAATAAAATCTGTGATAAGTCTAGAGTACTGAAGACAAAAGCATATTACATGGCCATCAGAAAGAAAATTCGAACACTGGGACAGACCTTTAACTACCCTGATTCAGGACAATGATAGGCCCTCAGAAGGGGCACATCACCTTTGTATCATGGTGTAAAGCATTTGGAAATCAAGAACCCCAACTTAATTCTTTCAAAACATACTTTAAGTGAATAAGCTTATATATGAAAAGTAAACTTTCAAAATATAAACATTATTTTATGACCTTAAATTATGGAAATTTAAAAGTACTAAACAAAATTGAAAAGTATTACAAGAGCAAACTAAACACAATTAAGATGTTTGATTGATCAAACCACAATATCAATAAAATTCAAGGCAGAGAGTGGGAAATATTTGAGCATACATATCTGAAAAAGATATTATACCCAGAATACCCAAGATGATTTTTTAGACCAACCAGCAAATAAACAGATGCTCAGTTTTTGGGAAAAAATATAAAAGACAAGGACAAGCCCTTTGCAAGATTCTACCTGATGACCAGTCAACATGAAAGCGTGCATCACTTCATGAAAGACAGACAAATGTTCATTAAATGTATACATGAAGTCACCACACAAGCACTAAAGTTCTAAATATTGAAAAGACAACATATATGTTAACAGGGATACAAGGCAGCTGGAACTCTCATGATTTGATTGTCTGGATACAACTACACATGAAGAATATCTTTTGAAGAAGCAAAGTAACCAAAAAATAGGAGGCCAGGATCTCTTGGAATTTGGTCTATCTTATTTTTTTATTTGTACTGACCTGAATGACATTTTCCTCTTCTAGATTTCAAAGCAATATATAAAATTATAATATCCACTGTCGTTAGTTTTGTGAACAAACAAATTAAAAACATCCACAAGAAAGCTGATTCATCTATTCAGTACTCATATAAAAACATTAATGATATCTTTATTTGTTCTACAATTTATTCTTACAACAAAAACTTAATTCAGTAAAATATTCATATTTATAACTTCCAATAGCTAAGAACTGGGCTTACAATTTAGGCTGCATATATAAATTAAACAGACACTGAAACACATCCAAGTTGAAATTTGGAGGAAATGGCAAAATGCAATGCCAAAACAAGTAAGGACGCTTGGTGACGCTGCAGGCTAAGAGTATGAAGAATGGGCTCTGCATAGGACCAGAACACCATTTCATTAAACTGAGAACCAGAACGTCGGGGTCTGTTTGAAAGAGGAGGTATTGAGAACGGTTTCTGGGAGAATTTGGGAAGAAGATGCCTCTAATCAGATTTACTTTAATATTTTCACGAACCCTCATGAGTGGATTGTAATCAACTTGAAGAAGCAGCGTTCCCTGTACTGCATCTGAACAATGGAGACAGCTCTAAGAAAAACGCCACAGCAAAGGCAAGTCGTTTTTCTTACTATGTTGTTGCTTTTGTGGGAGTCTGACACCGAGGCAATTAGATACTCCATGCCAGAAGAATCAGAGACTGGCTACTTGGTGGCTAACCTGGAAAGAGATCTGGGGCTCAGGGTGGGGGAGCTGGCCTCTAGAGGGGCACAAATCCATCACAGAGGAAACAAAGAGCTCTTGGGGCTGGATGCAGAGACCGGGAATTTGCTATTAAAGGAAAAGCCAGATCGCGAGGTGCTGTGTGGGGCGACAGACCCCTGTGTGTTGCACTTCCAACTCATACTCGAGAACCCTGTGCAGTTCTTCCAAACTGACCTGCAGCTCACAGACATAAACCACCATTCTCCGGAGTTCCCTGACAGAGATATGCTCCTAAAAGTGCCAGAGAATGTCCAACCAGGGACTGTGTTTCCTCTGAAGGCAGCTCAGGACTCTGACATAGGGAGCAATGCTGTTCAGAACTACACTGTCAGCCCCAACCTCCATTTCCATGCGGTCACTCACAGTCGCGCTGATGGCAGGAAATATCCAGAGCTGGTGCTGGACAGAGGCCTGGACAGGGAGGAGCAGCCTGAGCTCACTTTGACCCTCACTGCTGTGGATGGAGGGTCTCCGCCCAGGTCTGGGACCACCACAGTTCGCATTGAAGTCGTGGACATCAATGACAACGTCCCGCAGTTCCTACAGTCGCTCTATGAGGTGCAGGTCCCTGAGAACAGCCCCCTTGGTGCCCTAGTTGTCAGGGTCTCTGCCAGGGATTTAGATGCTGGGATACATGGGAATGTAGTCTACTCTCTGTTTCAAGGTGGTGGAGCTTCTCAACCGTTTGTAATAGATGAAGTCACTGGAGAAATCCGTCTGAGCAAAGAGTTGGATTTCGAGGTAACCAACCATTATAACATAGAAATTGCGGCCACGGATGGAGGTGGCCTTTCAGGGAAATGCACGGTGGCTGTACAGGTGTTGGATGTGAATGACAACGCCCCAGAGCTGACCATTTCCAAGCTCTCAAGCCCTATCCCCGAAAACTCCCTGGAGACTGTAATTGTTGTTTTCAGTGTTTCTGACCCAGATTCCGGGGACAATGGAAGGATGGTGTGTTCCATTCAGAATGATCTTCCATTTCTCTTAAAACCCACTTTCAAGAACTATTACACATTAATGCTAGAGGGGCCATTGGACAGAGAGAGCAGAGCTGAGTACAACATTACCATCTCAGTCACCGACCTGGGCACACCCAGGCTCACAACCCAGCATACCATAACAGTGCAGGTGTCTGACGTCAACGACAACGCCCCCGCCTTCACACAAACCTCCTACACCCTGTTTGTCCAGGAGAACAACAGCCCTGCCCTGCACATAGGCACCATCAGAGCCACAGACTCAGACTCGGGCTCCAATGCCCGCATCACTTACTCGCTGCTGCCCAGCCACGACCCACAGCTGGCCCTGGACTCGCTCATCTCCATCAATGCCGACAACGGGCAGCTGTTCGCACTCAGGGCCCTGGACTGGGATTATAGGCTGACACTCCCCTGATCCATATCTAAAATCCATATATGAGTGAGTGCATACCATGTTTGTCTTTTTCTGTCTGGGTTACCCTCACTCAGGATGATTTCCTCTAGTGCCATCCATTTGCCTGCAAATTTCAAGATTCCATTGGTTTTCTCCGCTGAGTACTACTCAACTGTGTAAATGTACCACATTTTCTCTATCCACTCTTCAGTTGTGGGGCATCTAGGTTGCTTCCAGGATCTAGCTATTACATATAATGCTGCTATGAACATAGTGGAACAGACATCCTTGTGTGAATGGGAATGTTTTAGGTATATGCCTAAGAGTGGAATTGCTGGATCTTGTGGTAGGCTCAGACCCATTTTCCTGAGGAATCTCCATACTGATTTCCAAAGTGGCTGTACTAGTTGGCACTCCCACCAGCAGTGGAGGAGTGTTCCCCTTTCTCCACATCCTCTCCAGCATAAACTGTCATTGGTGTTTTTGATTTTAGCCATTCTGAAATGAGTAAGATAATATCTCAGAGTTGTTGTGATTTGCATTTCCCTAATGGCTAGTGATGTTGAGCACTTTCTCAAACGTCTCTCAGCCATTTTAGACTCCTCAATTGAGAATTCTCTATTTAGTTCAGTCCCCCACTTTTAATTGGATCCTTGGTGTTTTGGAGACTTGATTCTTGAATTCTTTGTAAATTTTGGAGATCAGTCCTCTGTCAGATGTGGGGTTAGTGAATATCTTTTCCCAATCTGTGGGGGTGCCTTTTTGTCCTGCTGACTGTGTCCTTTGCCCTACAGAAGCTTCTCAATTTCAGGAGGTCCCATTTATTAATTGTCGATCTCAATGTTTGTGCTGCAGGTGTTATATTCAGGAAGCAGTCTTTGTACCAATTCATTCAAGGGTACCTCCCACTTTCTCTTCTAAGAGGTTCAATACGGCTGGATTTATATTGAGGCCTTTGATCCATTTAGACTTAAGTTCTGTGCATGGTGATAGACATGGATCTATCTGCAGTCTTCTACATGCCAATATCCAGTTATTCCAGCACCATTTTTTGAAGATGGTGTCTTTTTTCCATTGCATAATTTTAGGTTCTTTGTTGGAAATCAGCTGTTCATAGGTTTGTGTATTAATCTCAGTGTTTTCAGTTTGATTCCTTTGGTCTACCTGTCTATTTTTGTGCCAATACCAAGCTGTTTTCAGGACTACTGTAATAGAGCTTGAAGTCAGGAATGGTGATGCCTCCAGACATTGCTTTGTTGAACAGTGTTGCCTTGGCTATCCTGGGCTTTTTGTTTTTCCATATAAATTTGAGAATTGTTCTTTCAAGGTCTGTGAAGAATTGTGCTGGGATTTTAATGGTTATTGAGTTAAATCTGTATATTGCTTTCGGTAAGATTGTCATTTTTACTATGTTGATCCTACCTATCCAAGAGCACGGGAGATCTTTCCATTTCCTGGTGTCTTCTTTAATTTCTTTCTTTAAAGGCTCAAAGTTCTTGTGATACAGGTCTTTCACCTGTTTGGTTAGCGTTATCCCCAGGCATTTTATGTTGTTTGTGACAATTGTAAAGGGTGATGATTCTCTGATTTCTTTCTCAGCTCTTTTTTCATCTGTATATAGTAGGGCTACTGATTTTGAGTTGGTCTTGTATCCTGCCATGTTGCTGAAGGTGTTTATCAGCTGCAAGTGTTCCCTGGTAGAGTTTTTTGGATCACTTATGTAAACTGTCATATCATCTGCAAATAGTGTAAGTTTGACCTTTTCCTTTCCACTTTGTATCCCCTTCATCTCCTTTTGTTGTCTTATTGCTCTAGCTAGAACTTCCAGTACAATATTGACGAAATATTGGGGGAGGGGACAGCCTTGCCTTGTTCCTGATCTTAGAGGAATTGCCTTGAGTTTCTCTCCATTCAGTTTGATGTTGGTTGTTGGTTTGCTGTATATAGCTTTTATGATGTTTAGGTATGTTCATGTTATCCCGAATCTCTCCAAGACCTTTATCACGAAGGGGTGTTGAATTTTATCAAAGGATTTTTCACCATCTAGTGAGATGATCATGTGATTTTTGTTTCTCAGTTTGTTTATGTGGTGGATCACATTGATGGATTTTCATATGTTGAACCATCCCTGCATCCCTGGAATGAAGCCTACTTGATCATGGTGGATGAGGTTTCTGATGTGTTCTTGGATCCAATTTGCCAGTATTTTATTGAGTATTTTTGCATCAATGTTCATGAGGGATATTTGTCTGAAGTTATCTTTCTTAGTTGTGTCTTTGTGTGGCTTGGGTATCAATGTTATTGAAGCCTCGTAAAAAGAGTTTGGCAAAGACCTTTCTGCTTCTATTGCATGGAATACTTTGGGGAGAATTGGTATAATCCATTATTTGAATTTCTGGTAAAATTCTGCACTGAAGCTATCTTACCCTGGGCTTTTTTGGTTTGGAGACTTTTGATGACTGTTTCTATTTCCTTAGGTGTTATAGGACTATTTAAATTGCTTGTCTGTTCTTGATTTAATTTTAGTAAGTGATATTTATCCAGAAAATTGTCCATTTCCTTTAAATTTTCAAATTTTGTGGAGTACAGCTTTTCATAATATGACCTGATGATTCTCTGGATTTCCTCAGTGAACATCTATGCCCCAAATGCAAAGCCATCCACATTCGTAAAAGAAACATTACTAAAACTCAATGCACATATAAAACCTCACACACTTGTAGTGAGAGACTTCAGCACCCCAGTCTCACCACTAGACAGGACCACAAGACAGAAACTTAGCAAGGATATGAAGTACCTAATTGATGGTATGACACAATTGGGTTTAACAGACATCTATAAAACACTCCATCCAAACACAAAAGAATATACCTTCTTCTCAGCTCCACATAGAACCTTCTCAAAAATCGACCACATACTTGACAACATAGCAAACCTCAACAGGTACAAAAAATTGGAATAACTCCGTGTATCTTATCAGACCATCATGCCTTAAAGTTAGAATTCAACAATAACACAAACTACAGAAACCCTGCAAACTCATGGAAATTGAATAATACACTATTGTACCACTCCTGGGTCAAAGAAGAAATAAAAAAAGAAATTAACGACTTCCTAGAATTTAATGAGAATGAAGACACAACATACACACACTTATGGGACACTTTGAAAGCAGTGCTAAGAGGAAATTTCATAGCACTAACTGCCCACATGAAGAAACTGGAAAATAGTCACACTAGAGAATTAACAGCACAACTGAAACCTCTAGAACAAAAGGAAGTTAACTCACCCCAGAGGAGCAGATGCCAAGAAATAATTAAATTGAGGACTGAAATCAGAGTAGAAAATAGGAAAACGATACAAAGAATCAATGTAACAAAGAGTTGTTCTTCAAGAAAATCAACAAGATAGGCAAACCTTTATCCAAACTTACCAAAAGGCAGAGTATGAACATGCAAATTAACAAAATCAGAAATAAAAAGGGAGGTTTGGCTGTTTTAAATAATAATATGAGAATGCACATGCACGAGCACGCACGCGCACACACACACATATGGCTAGATGTATGTTTGCAGTTGTGATGAACATTCACTTCTTGGGGGTAGAGTTGTATAAGTAAACCTTCAGTAGGTATTTCCAACCAGGTTTCCAAATTGGTTATAGCAACTTACACCACAAGTAGTCAAATCTACATGTACAACTTCCTCCACATCTTTCCCAATCCTGTTTTCATCGACAACCATTGTGTGTGTGTGTCTACAATCCAGGCATGTTTGGACCAAGACATTTATGGAGGTCAGGAGACAACCTTGGGATACTTAGATATGTGTTTAACATATTCCCATTTCCCATTTCCTATTGTCTTGACTGTTATGTGAAAAAGTTTTCTCAGTCTTAATAGAATTTATCTTTAAATAAATACAAACTGCATCAGAAATCAATTATATTTGCCATATCTTATGCTCTTGTATGAGTACTCATTCACATTTTAAATATTTAAAGACACTTTCCAATTCATATGATAAGAAAAAGGCAAGACAGTAACAGAATATAACCACGACATTATCTGCATTTCTGTTGTTGTTTTTGGAGACACAGTCTTTCTTCCCTTGCTATCCATTTGTTTCAGACTCCTAAGTACTGGGATTAGAGTTGTGCATCACCATGCATCTTTGAATGTAATTTTATACATCATGCCATTTCTTATAATAACTTTGGTCAATCAACATGAGGACATTTTGTCCAATGAAATGTTATAGTAAGACACTTAGATTTCTCAAAACCATGAGTAATTCTACTCACTTAGAAGTAAAATTAAATCTTAAAGTTCTCATGACAAATGTCAATTGCTCCTCATCCCTATTTTAAATTATTCATTTTGTTTAGATATTGGTATCATATGTACCTTTTGGCCAGAGTTTCCCGCTCAATAGCCTTATGATTACTATTACTGTTCTCATGTGGCCCTTGCAACAAAATCTGTTGTTCATGCTATTTATGAGCCATACATTTTAGAGAGCTTAATCTTAAGTTCAATATTTTACATTTTAATAATTTGTTGATGTGTTTATTGGGAAAATTAAGCAGTGTACCTCTCAAATGCATGAATCATATAACTCATCAGAGATCAGTTGCATTGCTAAAGAATCAAAGTTGATTGTGGGAAGTTTTCATGGCCAGAAGAGTGATTCTGAGATGTTCCTACACGTGAGAGACTGAAGTGTGGATTTCCCTTAGATCAGCAGGAGATTGACTCAATATCTAGAGTGAGCCTGAAAACCAGCTTAAAAAAAACACAAGCATGCACAAACAAACAGACTCCTACAGAATCCCTACAGTCAGTTTGAGAAACACTGACTCAACTCAGAAGTCCTTATAATTCTGAAATTTGGATAAAAGTCTTTATAATTTGGATAAAAGTCTTTAAAAGTCTTTATAAAGTTAAGTGTTTATCTGAAAACGGCTCATGAAGTTATTGATTTGAACGCATGGTGGCGGTGTAGGCTAAGAGAATGTGTAAGAAGTCTTTGGAGTCCTTGGATTTCTACTTTACCTAGAAACTGAAGCAAAATATAGGACCGTTTGCTACTGCAGCTAAGACAAAAGCACTCCGGAGAAAAGGAGTCACCAGGAACTTGTAAGATAAAATCCAAAAATTCCACAGCAAAGACTTTACAGAAGGCCAAAACTACCTCCGTGATTAAGAACTGAAAGGAGTTTCCCCTCCCGGTAACAGCAGAGATGCCACGAACAAAGGCGCAGTGCAAAGCAAGGCAGGTGGTAATTTTAATTGCATTGATGCTTTCATGGGAGGTGGGCTCAGAGTCAATTCGGTATGCCATGCTGGAGGAGACAGAAACCGGCACGTTTGTGGCCAATTTGACTAAGGACTTGGGACTAAGACTGGGAGAACTGGGAGCTCGGGGCGCTAGAGTGGTTTTCAAGGGGAACAGACAATATTTGCAGCTTGACCCACAGACTCAGGATTTGGTGGTCAATGAAAAGCTGGACAGGGAAGAGCTGTGCGGCTCCGCGGAGCCTTGTTTGCTGCCTTTTCGGGTGTTACTAAATAGTCCTTTGCAGTTTTATCAGGCTGTACTAAGAGTTATAGATATAAATGACCACGCCCCAGAGTTCCCAGCCAGAGAGGTTCTCCTTAAAATACCAGAGATAACTGCGCCGGGAAAGATACTCCCTTTGAAAATGGCACAGGACCTAGACACTGGCAGCCACAGCATTCAGAGCTACACTGTCAGCGACAACCGTCACTTCCACGTACTCACTCACAACCGCAGGGACGGCAAGAAATTCCCTGAGCTAGTGTTGGACAAGGCATTGGACTATGAGGAGCAGGCTCAGCTCAGACTAACGCTCACTGCGTTAGATGGCGGGTCTCCACCCAGGTCAGGGACCACAGAGATCCAAATACTTGTTTTGGATACAAATGACAACACACCCGAATTTTCTCAGGAGCTCTATGAGGTCCAAGTCCCGGAGAACAGCCCCATTGACACACTGCTTATTACCGTCTCGGCAAGAGATTTGGATACAGGAACCTTTGGAGAGGTTTCTTATGCACTGTTTCAAGACGATGGTGTTAAGGAGCCTTTTATAATAGACACAAAGACAGGAGAAATTCGGCTAAGAAACACTTTGGATTTTGAAACATTCCAGTCCTACCATGTGGGTGTTGAGGCCATAGATGGTGGCGGGCTAACCGGAAAGTGCTCTTTAGTCGTACAGGTATTGGACGTGAATGATAATGCTCCGGAAGTGATCCTATCCTCACTCAACAGCCCAATCCCCGAAAATTTGCCAGGCATCATAGTGGCAGTGCTCAGCGTTTCAGACGCAGACTCGGAAAATAACCAGGAGGTTATGTGTTCCATAGATGACAATCTTCCATTTCTTCTAAGACAATCCACGGAGAATTTCTATACTTTGGAAACAGATGGGGCACTGGACAGAGAAAGTAGAGCTGAGTACAATATCACCATTTCAGCCACCGACCTGGGCACACCCAGGCTCACAACCCAGCACACCATAACAGTGCAGGTGTCTGACGTCAACGACAACGCCCCCGCCTTCACACAAACCTCCTACACCCTGTTTGTCCAGGAGAACAACAGCCCTGCCCTGCACATAGGCACCATCAGCGCCACAGACTCAGACTCAGGCTCCAATGCCCGCATCACCTACTCGCTGCTGCCTGCCCACGACCCGCAGCTGGCCCCGGACTTGCTCATCTCCATCAACGCGGATAACGGGCAGCTGTTCACGCTCAGGGCCCTGGACTATGAGGCCCTGCAGACCTTCGAGTTCCGCGTGGGCGCCACAGACCAAGGCTCGCCCGCTCTCAGCAGTCAGGCTCTGGTGCGCGTGCTCGTGCTGGACGCCAACGACAATGCGCCCTTCGTGCTCTACCCGCTGCAGAACGCATCTGCGCCCTGCACAGAGCTGCTGCCCAGGGCGGCGGAGCCAGGATACCTGGTCACCAAGGTGGTGGCAGTGGACCGCGACTCTGGTCAGAATGCCTGGCTGTCGTTCCAGCTGCTCAAGGCCACAGAGCCAGGGCTGTTCAGCGTGTGGGCTCACAATGGGGAGGTGCGCACCTCCAGGCTGCTGAGTGAGCGCGATGCTCCCAAGCACAGGCTGCTGCTGCTGGTCAAGGACAATGGCGACCCTCCCAGGTCTGCCAGTGTCACTCTGCATGTGCTGCTGGTGGATGGCTTCTCTCAGCCCTACCTGCCTCTGCCCAAGGTGGAGCGCGAACCTGAGCATGAAGACAAGGAAATGCTCACCCTCTACTTAGTCATCGCCTTGACATCTGTGTCTTCGCTCTTCCTCTTGTCTGTGCTTCTGTTCGTTGGGGTGAGGCTGTGCAGGAGGGCCAGGGCCTCCACTTGGGGTGGCTGCTCTGTTTCGGAGGGCCCCTTTCCTGGTCACCTGGTGGATGTCAGAGGCACAGGAACCCTGTCACAGAGCTACCAGTATGAGGTGTGTCTGAGTGGCGACTCTGGGACTGGTGAGTTTAAATTCCTAAAGGCCATTAGCCCCCAATTCCCTCCTTTGGAGTCTGAGAGGAAAACAGAGGAAAGTTCTACCCTTTGGAATAGCTTCCTACTCATGTAAACACTGCAGTGTAGTAGTAAACTCTGTTTAAGCTTAGAGCTATCTTTTAAACTGAATCTGCATGCTGCTGATATATGTTGACTGAGGCTTATGGTCTTACATTTTATAACAAGTCCTGGAACTGGAATCCAGTGTCTCATTCGTTTTAGGGAAATTCAGTCACAGCTAAATTGGCAACCTTTTTATTTGTGTATTTATTTATTTCTGTTTTTGAGTCATGGTCTCACTTTGCACACTTGGTGGTCTGGATCGTGCTATGTAGAACTGGCTAGACTGAAACACAGAGACCCACCTGCCTCTCGACACCTTAGCACCATGATTAAAGACTTCTGTCATCATGCCTGGTCTGACCTGTCCTGTTACTGTTATTCTTGAGATTTCACCCTTTTTTTCAAGATGGTTTCTCTGCATAGCCCTGGTTGTCCTGGAACTATCTCTGTAGTCCAGCATGACCTTGAACTCAGAGATCTGCCTGCCTCTGCCAGCCATTGCTGGGATTAAAGGAGTGTGTCACCACCGCCCAGCCAAGACTGTATTTCTAAATAGTCAGTTCTGGAGATTCCACCAGTTTCTCTATTATGCTTCATAGTTGTGTTTAAATTAGTGCACTAACCTGTATTTGACAACTTAAATTTTTTAGTAAAATTTGAAATCCAATAATCTTTTAAATATATTATCATGTAAAACCTTTGAGACTGCATTTCAAAACAAGTGATTAATTTCCCTATTAGTGTGTAGGAATGTTTTAAATGGGGGTATTTGATATTACTGAATTTAGTGTCATTTTGGAGTAACTAGTTATCATGTGCACCTCTAAATATAAAAGAAAGGAAATCTAAGTGCTAAGACACATACCTTATTTATGCATAATTATTTTAGTATGTTTTAATAGTTCACATATTTTTAAATATAGATTTTACTAGGCTATAAATAGTTTGTGACCCCTTTGTTAGAACTGTATTGTCTTTTAGCATCAAGGTATTTACAAATGCTGAATTAGTATTTGCTGAAACATCCAACAGACCTTTTTTTAAAAAAATACATTTTTTACAAAGTACTAACATTCTCTCCAATGTACCTTTGCCAATGAATGAAGTTTTATTTTAATTACAATTACATGAAAATTTAAACCATATTGCTTACTGAGATTTTCTTCTTTCCTTCAATTCAGAAAACATTTTGTTGAGCATAAAATTCAGGAGATCACATTTTATCTTGTTTTTGTCTAACTGTTTAAGAGTTTAAAGCTATTTTGTCAAATCCAAGTTATATTTTCCAAATTTCTCCTTTCTGTTTTCGAGTATCCACATTTTCTCCTCTAATATTCTATGAACATAATTTACTAACTGCGAAGTGATTTATATTCATAGTTCTGTTTTGTAGGTTACAGATGCCATTATCCTTTGAAAAACTTTCTTTCCAAATTTCTGTCAATGGAAGGCAAATTATATTAAGGTGATGGGTGAATATTTTACTTTGAACCTTAATGAAAATGGAATATAATGGTCAAAGGAATCATTTGCTCTTTGGGATTCTGGAGTACTTGCCCTGTCTTTCAAATAGCATCCTTATTCTTGGGGGGCAGATTTTCTTGTTTCTTTGACTCCAACCACACAACTCTGGTTTGAACTTCAGTGTTTTTCAATTACATAGTTTCCACAACCCAAAGGTCCCCTACTCAAGGCACATAGGTCAAAATCCTTTCCAAGAAAGGGTCATTTTTACTTTATTGACTTCATTATCTTCTTCACATTTGTAGAAAAGACAGTTGAACTCTGACCCAGAAATGACTACTAATAAGTGAGCATCTCCATTCAGTTTTATTAGTCATCACCTACAGCACATTCACAAATGAAAGGCCCTAAGACTGCACACCACAGAGCGGAAAACAAATGAACAAACATTGTCTTTTAGTTTCCCTTCATGAGTTATAGGCACATTGCCATTTGGCAGTTAGGAGCTGCATTTTTTAAAATAATATTTTTATCTACAAACAGAAAAAAGTATCAATTCCTATAATAGATTGGAAACTCTTTCCAAGACCAAAAAAAATATTGTGTTTCCTCCAAGGTGCTATGGTCAGAAACCAAATGATTACCTGTACAGAAAAACAATTGTTAAATAAATGGCAATCACTGTAGAAATTTCTGTTCTGAGTTTGTAACTTTATGAGGAAGATAGAAATTTCTCTCACATGGATTAGTTATAGCAAGACTTCCAAATGAGGCTTAGGGGAAAAGGAACAAGAAAGGAGAGAAAAGAACACTTTGACCTGACAGGTGGGCATTTTAGCCCTTACAGAGGGGCTTTGAAACAAAAATTTTCTGAAGTCGTAAAGCAGAACACTTGGTGGCGCTGCAGGCTAAGAAAACGAAAATCCCCAGAAAGCCTGCTTGTGAAAGCAGTGCCATTTCTTTCCGCTGAGGAAGGAAGGTTTTCACATTTCTGCCGACAGACCCCTCAAAGAGGCAGACACACCGTGTCCAGCAATGTTAAACAGCAAAGAAGCTCAAAATTAGTAGGCCAAGATTCCTGAGTTGTTCACAGAGCAATTCTAGTGTAACTGCTGCATCTCTGGGACCTGAGGCACCATGGAGACACCACGACTGAAAAGGCAAGTGACCGCCTTTGTCTGTCTGTTACTATTGTGGGAGGCAGGCAGTGCGACCATTAAGTATTCGATTCTAGAGGAAACAGACAGGGGCTCTTTGGTGGGCAACCTAGCAAAAGATTTGGGATTGGGTTTAAGGGATCTGGTCAGCAGGGGCGCCCAGATTCTCAACAAAGGGAACAAACAGCTCTTGCAGCTGGAACAGAAAAGTGGAAATTTGGTTCTGAAAGAAAAATTGGATCGGGAGGAGTTATGCGGGAGCATGGACCCGTGCATCCTACATTTCCAGGTGTTACTAAAAAACCCAGTGCAATTTATTCAAGGGGAAATACAACTCCAAGATGTAAACGACCATGCCCCAGAATTCATGGAAGATGAAATTCTCCTTAAAATAGTCGAAAGCAGCCACCCAGGGGCCAAGTTTCCATTGAAAATAGCTCAAGATTTGGACATAGGTAGCAACACAGTTCAGAACTATACCATCACCATCAACTCCCATTTCCACCTTCTCACTGGCAATCACAGGGATGGCAGGAAATACCCTGAGCTGGTGCTGGACAGAGCCCTGGACCGAGAGGAGCAGGCAGAGGTCAGACTAACACTCACGGCTCTGGACGGTGGGTCACCCACAAAGACTGGGACTACCCAGGTTCTCGTCGTGGTGCTGGACACGAATGACAATGCCCCGGAATTTGCCCAGAGGATCTATGAGGTGCAGGTTCAGGAGAACATCCCTGTGGGCGCACTTGTCCTCACTGTGTCCGCAAGGGACGCAGACGCTGGGACAAATGGGGAGATGTCATACTCGCTTTTTCAAGCCTCAAATCCAGTCCTCCGGGCTTTTGAAATAAATACAGACAACGGAGAAATTAGAGTAAGAAAACTATTGGACTTCGAGGATATTCAATCTTACCGCATGGAAATCGAGGCCTCTGATGGGGGAGGTCTTTCAGGGAAGTGCACGGTAGCAATAGACGTGATGGATGTAAATGACAACGCCCCTGAACTCAGCATGTCATTGCTTATCAGTGACATTCCAGAAAACGCTCCTGAAAGTGTAGTCGCCATCTTTGGAATTTCAGACCCAGATTCTGGAGAGAATGGGAAAATGGTTTGCTCCACCCAAGATCGTCTTCCCTTCCTCTTGATACCTACTGAGGAAAATTTCTACACCTTGGTAACGGAAGGTGCACTGGACAGAGAAAGCACAGCTGAGTACAACATCACCATCACAGTCACCGACCTGGGCACACCCAGGCTCACAACCCAGCACACCATAACAGTGCAGGTGTCTGACGTCAACGACAACGCCCCCGCCTTCACACAAACCTCCTACACCCTGTTTGTCCAGGAGAACAACAGCCCCGCCCTGCACATAGGCGCCATCAGCGCCACAGACTCAGACTCAGGCTCCAATGCCCGCATCACCTACTCGCTGCTGCCAGCCCACGACCCGCAGCTGGCCCTGGACTCGCTCATCTCCATCAATGCCGACAACGGGCAGCTGTTCGCGCTCAGGGCGCTGGACTATGAGGCCCTGCAGACCTTCGAGTTCCGCGTGGGCGCCACAGATCAAGGCTCGCCGGTTCTCAGCAGTCAGGCTCTGGTGCGCGTGCTCGTGCTGGACGCCAACGACAATGCGCCCTTTGTGCTCTACCCGCTGCAGAATGCATCTGCGCCCTGCACAGAGCTGCTGCCCAGGGCGGCCGAGCGAGGATACCTGGTCACCAAGGTGGTGGCTGTGGACTGCGACTCTGGCCAGAATGCCTGGCTGTCGTTCCAGCTGCTCAAGGCCACTGAGCCAGGGCTGTTCAGCGTGTGGGCTCACAATGGCGAGGTGCGCACCTCCAGGCTGCTGAGTGAGCGCGATGCTCCCAAGCACAGGCTGCTGCTGCTGGTCAAGGACAATGGCGACCCTCCCAGGTCTGCCAGTGTCACTCTGCATGTGCTGCTGGTGGATGGCTTCTCTCAGCCCTACCTGCCTCTGCCCGAGATGGGGCGCGAACCTGCACAAGGCGAGGATGCACTCACGCTGTATCTGGTCATCGCCTTGGCATCTGTGTCTTCGCTCTTCCTCCTGTCTGTGCTGCTGTTTGTGGGGGTGAGGCTGTGCAGGAGGGCCAGGGCCACCTCTCGGGGTGGCTGCTTTGTTCAGGAGGGTCTCTTTCCTGGCCACCTGGTGGATGTCAGCGGAGCAGGGACTCTGTCCCAGAGCTACCAGTATGAGGTGTGCCTGACAGGAGGTACTGGGACCAATGAGTTCAAATTTCTTAAACCAGTACTTCCCAACTTCTTGAATGAAGGGGCCTATAGGAATGGCGAGGAAATTTCCAATTTTAGGGATCATTTGGGGATTAGCTAGAAATCATACTTTGACCTCGTGTGATGAATTGCAGTCTCCACTGATGCATCATGCGTAGGCTTCCAATTTTTCACTCACTGTAAAGTGAGAATTAGTGTGTTACTAATCATATATATATGTATATATATATATGTAGCTGCTTCTAATTGTTGACAATTTTTTTCAATTTTGTTAGCCAAGAACACAAAGTAGCTGCCATTTTTTCTTTCTTGATGGTATTATTTTCATCACTCTTTTTAAAATGTTACAGATGTTTTCAGGTCCCCAGTATTTAAGCCTGTGCATTGATTTCCTATAATCAAAGGATTCGTGTTTCAAAAGATATCCTTATCGTTAGTGTGAATTTAACGCTATTGTGAACTATGGCTTTCAGTCTTTAAAATAATTTTCAATTATGTGAACATTTCTGTGTTCTTCTAAATCCTACGAATCTGCCACCTGGTCTCAAGAACCCTATTTTTTTTCAAATGAACCGTTGGTCAATCAGGATTATGTTTTTAAATGGGGGTATTTTCTTTCAAAATAGATAAATTTAATTAAGTCATCTTTTGGCATTCTGAAAAACTTTGGTCTACCAAAAAGTGACAGAGTTATTGTGCTTAATTTTCTGTAAATGGTTTTGTTGTGTAGATGTTTATTCTCATTCTTTTAACATGATATAATCTTCATAATTATTACATACACAGTAAGTACAAAGAAGACACATTAGCATGCTTTCACCAGAAAGTTTTCATCACATCAGCATCATTATAAAATATATCTACTGGAGTTTTGGGTGTAGCTCAATGAAAGAACATGTGCTTAGCATGCATGTCACCGGAGATCCAGGGACCAGCATAAAAAAAAGAATATGTGAGTAATATCTTCACATGAATGTGAGACTTAAATGAGAGCAGCTCTCTAAAGATGAATTACAATAAACTTGTATAATTTAAACTGTCAGGGGCTTGAAAGGTGACTCAGTGTTTAATATTCTTCTGAGGACCCCATTTCAGGTCCCACCACCCATATCTGGTGGTTCAAATAGACTTTAATCCCAGCTATGTGGAGCTCCAATACCCTCTTCTGGTGGCCATCGGTAGCCACACAGAGAGAACTAATATTAATTAATAGATGTTATAACTTAAATAGTTATTGAAATTCAGTAGCTTAGCCATTTGGTCTTTGGCTTCTCCTTGATAAAAGACTTCTAAATAACTGACATTTATTATTGTCCTGCCAAGTTTCTTCAAAAACTGCTCTAGGTTATAAAATTGGTTGCATATGTCTGTTCATCATATTCTTTCACCATCCTTTGTTGTATCAATTGCAGTGTTTCCATTCTCATCTCTGATTTTTGTTTTTCTTTTCCTTTGAGTAAAGATCTGTTCTTGGTTGTCTTCATCTTTGTGAGTTATTCAGCCTCTTGATTGCTTGCTTCTGCCCTACTAGTTGTTTCAATTTATTAACTTTGAACTTGTTTTTTCTTGTCCTCTTCATCCTTTGAAATACAATGATAGACTGTTTATTTTGGAGCTTTATTTTTTGGTGGCAGTATTGGTTGATATACATTCCCCTCTTAGTACTGCATTTGCTGTGTCTGATAGATTTTAGAGTAGTGTGTTCATTTTCATTTGTTTGATAGAATTTTTATTTTAATCTTTGATAGAGTTCAAAAATAGGTTGCTTATGTTTAAATTTTCTGTTCCTTTCTTTTAATATATGGTCTAACGTACTCTAGGGTGTCCTCAAACTCACTTCAATGGCCATGGTGGCACTTAACTTGAGATCTCACTTCAGTGTACCAAGTGCTGGGATTACATACTAGTGCTACCCACACAGTTTAATTTTTCTTTGTTCTAATTTCTATGTTTTATTTTGATTTTTACCAGAATGTAGATCTTCTCCAGCTATTTTTTTATTCTTCTGATTAAAATTTCAGTCTCTGATATCATAGTTTTGTTTTCAAACAGCTCATTCATTCTCTATGGATGTTTCTTTTTATAGCAACCCTTAAGTTTTAAATTTTTGCTGATATTTAACTAATGAATGATTATATTCTTCTAGTGGTTTGCATATATGTATACATGTATGTCTAATTATTACCATTATCAACATTGAGAATGATTTCATCACTCCTAAAATGAGTTAAGGGAGAGAATTAAAATGAACTGACTAATTCAAATTGAAAGGAATTCCTGGCTTCCTTCCTTATGCCCTAATCACCAACGTTATCTTATCTCCTGCTTCATTTCAACAGACGTAGACCTTTAAGAATGCTTATAGATGAACTATTTCCTGAATTCTTACATTACCGAGAAGTATGGTTTAGCTGGGTATAAAGTTCTTCAGTCAACTTTCTGAAGATATGTGCTGACAACCAAATTCCTTTGAAAGAGCAGCGTGTGTTCTTTTAGCTACTGAGTCATTTCCCAGAGCCCTCCTCAAAGATTTTTAATGAAAACATTTTATTGAATATACTGTAAGAGGATAAATGGACTGGGTTGGAAGTATAGACTCACTTGTGTTTTATACGAATATGGCAAAGAACATCTTTCTGTGGTCAGATGACAAAATTTCTTTTCATGTAGTTTCCAAGCATGTAAGTAGTGCCACAAGAAGGAATGCATTAGTTCCTGGTGTACATTACAGGATGTTAGTATGAACTACAGTGAATGTTATTTCCAGTTTTAATTTGAGGTTCAGCATTGGGCTCTAGACTTCATTCTGCTCTGTGGTGCCATTACAGTCTGGTCTAATCTGGCCTGACTGCCATTACCATTTCCAGAGGAGTCTGGAGACATGTAGGGATACAGAACAGAATAAAATGTGTGTTAATGGTCCTTCAAGATACAGGAGTTGCCACCATGCCTAAGAAGCTAAGTTTGATCTCCAGGTCTCACATGCATTAAGGATACCAAACTGGGAAGGAAACCTGACAACTGATTGACCTCACTACTTGCCCAGAGTAAGTAGAGATGAAGTCAAACCTGGACTGCTGATCAACCTGTTTCTTTGGAGGAGAAGGGTGGAGAAGAGGGATTGAGAGCAAAGAAGGGAGAAAAGGTTCAAAGGAGTAGTGATGCCAAAGGTTTCAAAGAAGGACAACTGGTAGACCTTGTCACATGCCAGAAGTGAGTGGAGATCAACCTGGCCTGGACGGCTAATGAGTCTTGCTCTTGAGTAGGAGAGGGAGAAGGAGGAGAGAAGACCTCCTCAGATGTTTTTACATTAGTTCTTTCATCACAATTTGTCCATTCATCTACAGTTAGCTAAACTATAAGTGATTTATTTCAATAAGTACTCATAAATATTGATATGCTTATTATTCTTTACTGTTTGATGAATCATTTTCTCTGTAGTTGAACAATATAAATTGGGTAAAATATTGAGCCAAAATTGCTTTTTTCACAACATTCCTCAGTTACATTGTGTATAAAATGTTTCTTGGAGGTCTGGAGCCTCTGTGTTTTAACTTGGAGGCCAAACCCAGCAAGTATTTTGCCACTGAGTGCATTCCTACCATGGACTACCTTCCTGTTATGGTTAGTATTATAAATTTAACAGGATCTAGACTCACTTAGGATACAAGCCTTCAGATACATCTGTAAGGTGTAATACAGGTTAAGTAAGACTTTGAGAATTCCTGTTGGGAGATTATGTTGATTGCATTACTTGAGCAATGAAGGCCTACCCACTGCGGGTAGCACAGTTCTGTTTCTGGGATCCTGCGTTAGATGAGTGGAAAAAAACGAAGCTGAACTGAATCACTCCTCTATTCCTCTCTGCTTCCTTGCTGTGGGTGTCATGTGACCAGCTGCTTCATGCTCCTGCCACCTTGAATACCCCAGCATGATGGATGATAGCCTGGAAATGTGAGCACAAATAAACTGTCTTAAGTGGCTTTTGTCAAGGTATTTCACCACAGTAGCAAGAAAAGTAGTGACAACACTCCATTCTCTTTTTGAAGATTATTACCTTTTCTTTTATAATGCTTATTAATTTGTTCTTGTGTCTGACAATTACTAACTGAGACATCTCCCTAGCCTTATTCATGCATTTTATGAGTATATGCTGTCTGCATGTGTACAGCATGTGTGTAGAGCTCATGAAGACCAGAAGGGGCATCAAACACCCTGGAACTGGAGTTACAGGTGTTTGTGAGTTCCTGATGGGAGTGCTTGAAACTGATTCTGTGTTCTCTTCAAGAGAGCAAAAGATCTTAAAGACCAAGCCACCATTCTAACCATATTGTCATATTATGATTATTGTAATGATAATTTTTGAAACTGAGAATACCTTTCAATATGATACATATTTTGACTATGCCATTTATATAGTAAGTATAATGGTCTACAACTTGTCTGGTATTTCCAATCTTTAAAGTTGCTGTGGGCTTATTTATGCTTCTTCAAGTTTGTGCTGTCTTTATTTCTTTGTGTGACTCATGTGGCTGCTTTCCCTTTAAGCCCTTTAAGGCATTTACATGTTGTATCTACAACTATCTGTGACTACACATTTCATTTTTTTCTTTTTGCTTGTCTTTTTTTCCTGATTTACTTGACAAATCAGTGATCTCTCCTCTGTAGCATGCAGTAATATTCACAGATAGAGCTCTTTCTTTGGTGGGCTTAAAAGAGACTCTGTACACATAGATTAGTAATAATTGTGAAAATGTCCTAATTACACTTTAAAACTTATTTTGAGTGCCTATTAGGGTTGAAACACAGGTATTCCTGGAATTTGAACTTAGGTTTTCAGCTGTGGTGGCAGGCACATTTGCTGGCTAAACCATTTTGCCATACCTATGTTTAGTTCACATATATTAGTAAACTTAAAAATTACAGTACAAGTTGGGAGCAATACCAACACTGGGGAGTCAGATGAAAGTGGATCAAGGTTTTAAGGCCATCCTGGGCTACAGAGCAAATCTGAGTTCAGTCTTGGGTATAAAATATCTTGTCTCTAATAAAACCTTAATTAAATGTCCTACAAATGCATTTCTTTTCATAAAATGCTCTCTTACTATTTGTAGTATTTGATGTTTGCTTTGCTCACACACAATAATTCACTGGAAGAACTGGACAAGCATTTGTGAGAAAATTGGTTGGAACTGGTCCTTGATGCTCCTGAACTCCTGGTTCAAAATTCACGCCACCGAGAGCATAGTGCAAAGACCAAGAAGGAGATGCTGCAGCTTCTAATAAAACGTGCATGCACAGTGCCCTCTTCTGCCTCCTAAATTCACACCTACATTCTGGATCAGAGTAAGTGGGTGCACAGCAGCCTCGAGTCCCCAGTAAAACTGGAGTCAGAGAAATGTCAACTGTATTGCCAGCTTCATAACTTTCTGAACTTGTGAATGAAAAGCAGCAACAGCAAGAAAATGACTTCGACATTCTAATGAAGATTGTGTGAAAGAATAACATTCTTCAGCATAATTTACATCTAGAATAATAATTCAAAGGAGTCTGGGAAATGGAGTTTTAAGCTGATACCCCAAATGAAAACATTTCTACCAAGTACATCACAGCCTTAGATATGATTTAGAGTATGATTCATTCCTTAATGCCATTTGGACTAAGATTTCAATAAAATAAGAATTCCTTTATTATCAAAACACCAATGATAAAGAGATGTAGTCCTATGTTCACCTAACAACCAATCTGAACTGGGTAACTTACTTAATTCTATCTACATCTACTAATAGATAGTTGAGGTAAGTGCTGAGTGAGTATGACAGAACTGCTAATCTGACCAAAATATGTAACATTTGCTACTCATGTGGATATCCAAGCTATAGATTATATTTCCCAACCATTCTCACAGCCAAGTATTGTTTAATAACTATGTTATGACCATGACATACTCAAAGATGTACATTTTTAAAGAAGAGGTAGACATTAATTCCCCTTACTTTTTGATATGAGCAGATATGTAATGACTGGAAATTAGGCAGCTATCATTACTGAAAGATGAAAGTCATGTCCTGAAGATGTCAAACCAACAGTGGAATGAGAATGGACCCCCAAGTTATGCAAGAGTGATTTTCAGTCTTGATTTTTATGAGAGAAAAACAAAACTTATATATCATGTTTTTTTAATAATGTGATATCTGTCATTCCAAGGATTTGTTGTATAATTTTTTCCTGGAGAGATGGCAATTAATGTGTATTCACTCAAGAAAGAGAGTCGATGCCTTAACAAAGAAACAATTCTATCATACTCTACTTGGGTAAGCCAATGAGTTTAGTGGGGTTACAAGGGTTGAGGTGATGATCCCCAAAGCTAAATCCCTCAAACTCACTTCCCAACTTGCAAGCAGTTCCACACAAAAGGGGTTCTTATCTCCTTGGAAATTTTTAGTGCTTATGTATTCTTGGGGAGGGGTGCTGGGAGTCTTGCAACTTCCTGGGCAAGTCTTAAAACTTTCATGATATTCCTGAATCTTATAAGTCAAATATTTCAATTTGGAGGAAGCAACTACACAACAGTGATAGTCAACAGATGAACAATGAAGAAAATGTGTTTCGTAAACATATGTTAGCATTATTTTGCTCCAAAGAGGAATGAAACAATGCTGCTTACAGAAAAGTGGAATTGGAATCACCACTGTAGATAAAATAAGCCAAAGCAAACTAGGCAAGTGTCACATGCTTTCTCTCCTACTCAGAATCTATGTGTCTTTAAGACATGTGAGTGTAAAGGTGGAGCATTCATTACTTTTCTCATTGTTGTGAAAAAACACCTGACAAAGACAACTTGAGGACATAAGAGCTTATTTTAGCTGAACACACAGTCAGCCCATTGTGGGGCAGTCAGAACACAAGGTTACATTCACAGAGCAGGGAGAGACAGGGGTGCTTCTCAGCTCTCTTATTTTCATCCAGTCTGGGACCACAGCCCAGGGAATACTGCTGCCCACATTTAGGTCTTCCCCCTCCACTTAACTCAATCTAGAAATTCCAGCGGAACAGTCCCAGAATTTTTTTCTCAGGATGCTGTGCCAATCAAGTTTAGGATCAAGACTAACCATCATAAAGAGTATTTGGAAAGAGAGAAAAGGCCAAAGAAAAAGACAAGGAGACAGAAGAAAGAATAATGATGGACTGGATACAGACTAAAATGCCATAATAAAACCTATTATGTCATACAGTTCACATATGCTGAACACAGAAAAATGACCAATAGTGGATCAATAGATATCAAATGTGATATTTAAAGAACTAAAGGATATCGAAAATTGAGACACAAATGTCTTAGAAATAGAATTATTGAGATTAAAGAATCAAAGTAAATGACTTGATAATTAGAAATATAAATGCATAAAGTAACTAACCACAATGAATACTCCAGAGAATATGACCACTGAAATTCTACTCATTTAAAAAAGCAATGATATTTTTGGTTGTATATATAATTTGTAGATTGGACATGTATCTTCATACATGTATCTATTTATACTACAGAAATTTTAGAGACATCAGAATGTTTGGACCTAAAAGCCTGGAATGACAACATCTGAGGGGAAGTTTCTGGAGAGACCTCCTATCTTAACATATATACTTTTCCTCACTCTTCTTGATTGAAGCAAATCCTGGGTCCTTTGGTGACTTCTGTGAGGAGAACCCATACAGAATTGTGTGGGATATGCCATAGGAGAACCAACTACAATAAGTCTTTGAAATTTGAAGGAGTTGAGTGACACTGATTTGATACTGGAATATAATATAAACATAACCTCCTCCAGTGAAAATATCCACTCCTCTAGTCTTACCCTCTAGTTCTTTACATGTTTCACTCCATATTTGGGGCATGGTGGTTCAAGCCTCTCATTCAAGTAGGTCAGAGGTAAAGGCAGGATAAGTCTTGGCTACATTCAAAGCTAGTTTGACCTCTATGTCTCCAAAAAGATTAATGATAATAATGCTATGGAAAATATAGACCATTAATGAATGGAAAGTACATAAGAAGGAAAGGAAGGACATAAAGGGAAGAGAAAGGGAATATGAGAGCCACTCACACTCACCGGAGTGTACCTGGTTAACCTTAGTATAATAATACAAGTGAGCATTACCAACCCTGCCAGAGATGCCACTCTGCTCTTCAGTCTTTAAAGTTGAATTAAGACAAATGGTCTAGCATGGAGGGTGCCCTGGGTTCAATCCCTAGCACTGAAAACACACTGAGATTTTTCACATAGAAAAATATGCAAAAGCTGGAACATTTTAAAAGAGAAAAATTTGGTAAGGAAACATTGGGAAGAAAAACCCATTATTATCATCAGAGGGAAAAATTAATTGCCTCTAACCAATAAGAATGAAAGAACCCTTGGAAAATATGAACATACTCATAAAATAAAATAAAAATAAGGTGGACCATTCCTAGAGCCTTGACCCAGTAGCTGATAGAAGCAGAGCAGGCACCCACAGCTAAACACGGAGCCATACTCCCAGAATCCAGTTGTGTAGAGGGAGGAGAGATAAGCCAGTGAACCAAGACGGAACTAGAGAAACCCGCAGAAACAGTTGACCTGACCTGATGAGAGCACGCAGACCCTAGTCGTAAATTGGGGAACCATCAGTGGACCAAACCAAGCCCTCTGAATGTGGGTGCCACATAGGAGGGCAAGGCAGTCTCTAGAACCTTTAACAGTGGAGCCAGGGTTTATTCCTAGGCCACAAATGGACTTTGGGAGCCCATTCTCTAAGGAGGGATACTCTTGCAGCCCAGATAAGGAAAAGAGGACCTAGGCTCTCCCCCAAATGATGTTATGGACTTTGATGATGCCCCGTGGAGGGTCTCACTATCCCTGGGGAGTGGGTGGGGGTGGGTTGGGGGATCGGTGGGAAGCATGGGAGGATGGGAGGACGAGGGAATGGGGGAAAGGATATGTAAATAAGAGTGTCTCTAAAAAGCCAGGCGGTGGTGGTGCACGCCTTTAATCCCAGCACTCGGGAAGCAGAGGCAGATGGATCTCTGTGAGTTTGAGGCCAGGGAGGACCGACAGCCTCCAAAACAATACAGAGAACCCCTGTCTCGTGAAACCCGCCCAAAAAGAGTGTCTCTAAAATAAAAAATAAGGTGGACACAAGATAAGAGCCCACCTAAACAACTAACCAAGGCTCATAGGGCCTACAGAGACTGAGCCAACAATCATGGACCCTGTATGCATCTGATCTAAGTTCTCTGCATATATACTATGGTTTTGTTGCTTAGTGTTCCTGAGTGACTTCTAACAGTGAGAGTGGGATTGTCTCTGACTCTTTTGCCTGCTTTTAGAACCCTTTTCACTTACTGGGTTGCTTCATCCAGCTGTAATATGAGGGGACGTGCCTAGTCTATTACAACTTACTTGGTTGATACCCCCTTGGAATCCCTGATATTTTCTGAAAAAGAAAGGAGGAGTGGATCTGGGGGATAAGGGGGGAGGTGGGGGGACAAAGTTGAAAGAGAGGATGGAGGGAAAACTGCAGTTGGTGTCACATGCCTTTAATACCAGCAATCTGGAGGTAGAGGCAGGCAAACTGTGAGTTTGTGGTCAACCTGATCTACAAATGATTTCTAAGACAGCCAGAGTCATTACACAGAGAAACCCTGTCTCAGAAAAACAAAACAAAGTAAACAAAACATTCTCCCACCCCCACTCAAAAAAGTAAGGTGGAGAATAACCAATGAAGATTCCAACATCAACCACACACACACACACACACACACACACACACACACACACACACACCACATGTACACATGAATACAAATACCACATGCACACAAAGATAACTTTCAAAGATCATAACAAAACTTACCTGTCATGCATCTTTTTCTGGAAACTACAGGATGATGCCTATAAAAATGAAAAATTAACCCAAAGTAGAAAAAGAAAGACAGAAGAGACAGGAAAGAGACCATTCAAAATGGGGGAAAATGAAGTGAACTTTCATGTGTTGATTCTGGAATGACAACCATGTCCCAAACATAGCAAAAAA